AAAAAAATAAAAATAAATATCTCCCCTGTTTATTTCTCCCCGAGTTTGTAGCACTAGGTTGACCTGAAAAACAAGATGAATTTACCCTGTGCCTGGGCAGGGCCATGAAAACTCAGATTTTTTGGGATGTAACTGTCTGTGTGGTTTCAGAGAGGTCAGAGTACCCGGAGATGCCATGAGGAGGCCCTTCCTCGCCAGCCAGGTGAGCAGCTCCCACCTCGGGCAGTCCTCGCTCCTCCAGCACGTGAAGCATCTCCACAGGTCTGTCAGCGGGTCAGAGCCACGTCTTCGAGCGGGAAGAGCTGGAAGGAGAAGAGGGGCTGGGTTATTTTGGAGCATCACCTGAGCCTCCAGCTCTGCCATCACCTCCCTCTCCACATGGGATCCCATTTCCCCTCAGTGCAGTGTTTAAACCACAGCTGCATTCACCATTTTCATTCAATTTTCTTTGTCTCAGGCTCAGATCCGACCTGCAGATTCCCTTCCTGTCACTGTGCCCGCAGATAAACCCCACCAGACACCCAAATACCGGGCTTGGACCTGCCTGTGGGGCTCCCAGTGGGAATTTGAGTGGGGAATCTGAGGGATGCACGTGTGTGCACAGATCCAGAGAGTGTGGTACCGGGACATGCACAGCCAGGCAATGGCACAGCACAGACGTAACACAGCACTGGGCTTTCCCAAAATGATTCTAATCCCAGATTTCCTCACAGAAATGAGGTGGGGGAGGAAAACAGCTACATGTTTCAGGGGCTGATCCAACAGCCAAAAGCCTCTGTGGATTTCAGCTGGATGTTGACTCCAGCTCTACATAAGAGGAAAGAAATTTAATGTCTGGAGCCAGCCCTGAGCCAGTCCCACACAGCCTGGCTGAGCCCTGAGCGGGCAGCAGAGGGGGCCTGAGGAGAGCCACGCTGGGAGAATCCCAGTATGACCCAGCTGCTGGCTACAGTGACACCCCTCCGCCTCCATGGACACCCCTCTGACCCAGGGACACCCCTCCAGCACAGGCAGCTCAGTCCCACAGGGGGCAGGTTTGTGATGCTCCAACTGGGAGGGCAGAGAAATCCTAGAGTCCAGGAATGGTTTGAGTTGCAAAGGGACTTGAAGATCATCTCTTTCCATCCCCTGCCATGGGCGGGGACACCTCGACTAGAGCAGATTGCTCCAAGCCCCGTCCAACCTGGCCTCGGGCACTTCCTTCAGCTCCTTTTTCTGCCTTAAAGCCAAAGTGCAGCCCCCTTGCTGGCTCCGTGCACCCCAGTTTCCTGGTGAACCCCCTCGAAGCTCCATGCACCCCGTTACCTGGTGACCCCCCAGCACCCCCGGGGGCCGCAGCAGGACCCTCGTATCCCAGACACAGAGCACACCCCTCGAGCATCCCGGGGCTCTGCGAACCAACCGTGCCCCCCCCGGCTCCCGGGATCCCCCCGGCCCCCCCAGCCCTCCGCCCGCCCGTCGGGGCCGCGCGTTACCTGAGGCTGGCGGGGGCCGGGCGGGGGTCGTGCGGGGGCCGGGCGGGGGCCGTCCCAGCCCCGCCGGAGCAGGAGCTGCAGGAGGCGGCCGGGGCCGGGCGGCGGCGGGGCCGGGGCGGCGGGCGGGGGGCTGAGCCCGGCGGGGCGGCCCGGGCGCGGGGGGCTGTCCCCGGGGGGCGGCCCGGGGTGCCGGGGGGGCTCGGCCGGCAGCTCCCGCCGCCAGAGGTAGGGGGAGCGGCGGACCCCCATCAGCAGCCCCGAGGCGCGACCCACCGTGTGGTACCGGGGGCTGGCGACGTGCTTGTACCAGGCGCCCGCCGGGGCGGCCGGCAGGATCAGCCCCAGCAGCACCAGGGCGCCCCAGGCGCCCCCCGACAGCTGCCCCCTCCCCATGGCCCGGGCAGGGGTGCGGGCAAGGTGCGGGCAGGGGTGCGGGCAGGGGTGCGGGCAGGGGTGCGGGCAGGGTGCGCCCCGGCCCCGGGCGCCCCAGCGACGGCTGCCCCGCGCCCGCGCCCCGCCGGTTTATAGCGCCGTCGGGAGGGGCCCCCGCGGCTCCGCCCCGGCAGCCCCCCGCCGCCCTCCCCCGGCAGCCTCCCCCCGGGATGCCGGCGTCCTCCCCATGGCCCCCAGCATCCTCTGAGCATCCCTGAGCGTCCCTTGCATCACAGAGCATCCCGAGCATCCCTGAGCATCCTCCTTGCTACCTGCGGGATCCTCCCCGTGGCCTTGAGCATCCTCTGAGCATCCCTGAGCGTCCCCCGCAACCCGGAGCATGCCGAGCATCCTCCTTGGTCCCTGCGGCAAAGCATTCCAGACCATTTGCCGTGGATCTGCCGGGCTGCTTCCTTTCCTCTTCTGCCACTCAGTTCTTAAAGACCATGAATTTTGCCATCCCAGTCAGGTGACTTTCTCCCCCCAGATTCCTTAATAAAACCAAGCAGGTCAAGTTTATGGTCACCAAGGAGCAATTCCAGCTCCTCCTGTCTGTTAGCTGAGTTCTTGGCTTTATACATTGAACGAGGACTAAATAATCTCTGGGTTTTTTCAGTAACTTGATTAATTTTATTCTCAGCATCTTCCATGCTCCTGTGTGCCCATTTAAAATCACAGAATCGTTTGAGTTGTAAGTGACCCTAAAGGCCATCTATTCCAACCCCTGCCATGGGCAGGGACACCTTCCACTAGCCCAGGTTGCTCCAAGCCCCGTCCAACCTGGCCTTGGACACTTGCAGGGATGGGGCAGCCACAGCTTCTCTGGGCAGAGGTTGATATTTCTCCTTGTTGGTACTATTTTAACATGTTCCAAGGGAATCAGGCCAGGCACCTTCTCATCCTTGGGATCCTCAGCCCTTCACCATCCAGCCCCATCTTCTCCCGCCCAACAAGCATAAGTTCCCAGTGGAAGTTCTCTCCACCAGCCCAGCTTGCAGACGTTGGTGTTCTGTGACCCTCCACTCCTGGGGACGTGTTTCCAGGCTCATGTTGGGGACAGAGCCGTGCTGGAGACCCCTTGGAGAGAGGGATCCCAGCCAAGCAACATCCTCCTCCTGCAGGAACCAGCCCCTTGGCCAGGCAGGGATCAGAGAGTGCGGGGCTGGCAGATGGAGAAGGAGAACAATCCAAAGCAACCATAGGGAGGTGTCAGATGGTCAGTGAGGATCCTCATGATTTTCCTCTTCCAGGAAGGCTGGGAGTGAGTGCAATTCCCAGCTGGTAAAACAGGGACCCAGAATTTCTGGAGTGGATGCTGGAAGTTACGTTTGTGCAGAGCACAACTCATTCCTGTAATGAACCAGACCAGAGTCAAACTCATCCATAGCCCAAGTTCTTGGAAGCACCCAGGTTTACGGTAAGGACACGTCTTATTCTGAGCCAATCCCTGCTGAATGGGCTATTTTTGTCACCCTCTGAGTGCTCTGGGCATTAGAACAGCCTCACCACTCTCCTATTTAGTAGAGCCATTAATGAATGGCAGTGGTACAGCACACGGACCATCCCATCCCATCGTCCCCAACAATAGGACACATGCTGCCAGGTTTGTTCACTCCATAAAAGCCATAACACACCCTTCTCCTCACCAGAGATGGATCGATTGGGAAGCACCTGGAATCGATTGGGAATGCTCATCCTGGCTTGTTCCTGTCTCCTGTGCTCAAGGACACAGTCAGGTTTGTTCCACTGCAGCCACACTCCAACACGGGCTCAACCTTCCCACCCAGGAATGGAAGATTTTCCCATTCCCAAAGATCTGCCTGAAGTGTCCCTTACATGTGTTTTTGGCATAACTTGAATAAGTTGTCACGCTGATAAACTCTCCATGAACTGAACTCTTTCCTCCCAGTGCAGGGATTGATCCCCACAGTTGTGTCCTCAAGGCACCGAGATCCTTTGGGTACAGCGTGGCTCCGGATCTCTACCGGAGTGCAAGTTTCCTCTCCCAAGTATTTTTAAATATCTTTCAAATGAAACAGCTGATAAGCAATTTGAATTCTATTTATATTCTAAGTAACTAAAGGATAATTTTAGGATTCTTGTTCCCCTCGCAGAAGCCGATGCTGCCGCAGATTCCGTAGCACGTCAGCGGACACATGGCACCGTGCTGCTCCCAGGAGGTCTTGTGCCAGGAACTCCCCCAGAGGAACAAAATCCTGGTTATTTTGGGGAGATGAAAAACTTTTGAATGAGTCCTGGTTCCTATGGAAATCTACAGACTTCCCAGGACATTGAAGTATCAGCCCTATGGGTCGTTCCTATAAACTGCAGGTGCTCATCAACCCCGAGCAGGGGCCAGCTGACCCTAAGCCCTTTTAAAAACCCTATTTTAATGTTTTCACTTAAACCCAAAAAATTTTGGCCCCAAGATCAGATTTATCAACTACACAAACACTGAGACAAAATTTTGTTCAGCCACCCCAGTGCTCAGACAAACACTTAATGAGGTGAAGGGGAATGGGATGGATTGGGTTGGAAGGAACCTTGAAGTTCATCCAGTTCCTCCTCCTGCCACAGGCAGGGACACCTCCCACTATCCCAGCTTGCTCCAAGCCCTGTCCAACCTGGTCTTGAACACTTCCAGGGATGGAGCAGCCACAGCTTCTCTGGAAAACTTAACCATAGGGATTTAACTCTATGCTTCTGCTGTTGAAAGGATTTAAGCTTTCATTCTTTTCTGTTGGAACAAAATCTATCTTTTTGTAAGAGGGAGGCTCTGCTGCAGCTCCCCATCCCTCTGGATGCTCCAAGCTGAGGTATCAGAGCATGAATTGGGGTTTCCGGAGAACATCCCAAGGGACCCCAGGGCTGAGGGGTCAGAGGGGTGACCAGCTGGAGGCATCACATCTTCCCCCCCTGCAACAAACCCCACTGAGCTCTGTGAAGAGCCCTCTCCACCCGATTTAATTCCCGTGGTGCTCTCACCTCCCACCACACACATTACTGCAGCCACTCAGGATTTGTGGCTTTGGAGAATGATCTAAATGAATTTGATGTCCCAGAAAGAGGCACTTGAAAACTAAACCAGTGGGGTTTAATGACAGCATTTTCCCCAGTTTTATGATAATGACTCTGGTGTTTATTGCAAGGTTAGCGACTCAGCCGAGCAGGAAAACAAAGCAATCCAGAGGCCAGTGCTGGGATGGGGCCTCCGCACCCTTGGGCATTAATGCTTGTTCTATAAATGACATTCTCTGGCCATTTGGGATCTACAGCATGTCCCTGTGGGAGTATGAGAGGATGGGGGTGACATCAGTGGACATGAGGAGGTCCAGACCCTGCCCTCCTCCTCTGGGGTGCAGCACTGCAAACTCATCCAGCTTTGCTGATTGGGATCATCCTGTTCTCCAGGTTGAGAAACTGAGGCACGGAGTGTTCAGAGAGTTGCCAAAGACCACACAAGGTAATGGAAGGTTTGGCCAAGGAACGGAGCCTTCTGCTCCAAGGTCCTTCTCCCAGACACTGCCTGGCTCTGCCCTCCTGTGCAGATTGGAGAGACGGACACAACTCAGCCGAAAGAGGCTCCACCACCAGGAAGTCAGCTGGAGGCACAGACCTGGAGTTGGAGGCTGGAGCAGGGATGAGTTTTGCTCCCATCCCATCCCAGGCAGTGCCATGTGCACCTCGAGCCGGAGCAAAGCCGGCGCTGCTGCGGGCAGTTGACTTGGAGACCAGGTTGGAAGTCCAGCACCTGAGGGAGCTGGTACTGCAGATCCCACCTGGAAAGGTGACGTGATGAAGCTCCTGCCTGGCTCCAGGAGGTCACTGGACAGGTTTCCCACTGCTCCATCTCTGCCCACACGCCAAATTCCTGCACTTCCCCTCCTTGTCTGGGTTCACATCCCTGCTCCCTCCTGCATTACTTCAACCCGGGAGTGAGTGAAGTCTTAACGGCAAGAAAAAGATCTTCCCACATGTGTGGCTCAGCAAACCCTGATGTTTTGCAACACTCATCCCACTGCTGAGCCCCTGGGGAATCAGGAAGAGTGTTTTCATGGAGTGGGGATGAGGCACTCGGGGAGCAGGACCCAAACAGGCTCAGTCCCTTGGGTGCTGCAGTGACAGCATCGCAGAAAATCCAAGGAATAACAACCTTTGCCATTTTCTTGCATCTAGAGAGTGTAATAAACTCAGATCAGGGAGTGAGTTCTTCCCCCAGTGATTCAGAACGTGATTAAATGCTATTTCTCCCTTCTCCTGAAATAAAGGAGCTGTAACTGATACAAACAAATTACAGTTTCAAGCTGTGAGGCAGAAACACTTCGACTCCACAGATATTGGTGGCTCTGAAGAGAAAGAGGAAACAGTGAGTGGTGTTTCCTAGAGTTGCAGATCTTCATATTAAAGTGCACTAAATTAATTATTTCACTCCTAAGAAACTACTAATTCCTCACTATTTTTAGCCTCATGCACTATTTTAAGAGATTTTTTTTCCAGGGTCCAGTGACATGGAAGTTAAACAGCAGGCAGTGAAGTCTCCAAAGGATAATAAACTATCTCAAATTACTTTGCTAATGGAACAAAGAGTACTGTAAATGTCACACAGGATAGAACAAGAGCGGGAGAAACCTTTACATGAAACAATGGATCCATTAGCACTAAGTTGAGGGAAAAAAAGCCACAGACTCGTGATACTTGTGCAGAGTTTCATGGAGTTGCTTCTCCAAGCCAAGGGAACTTGTTTCCTCACTTGAATTCTGTGCTGAGCTCACACCACAATCACCCACACTCCCAAGGCATCGACCCTTTAGGATTTCAAAGCCCTTTACAGACAATAATTAAGATAATAATTAAGCCCCAGCTGAGTCAGTGGAATTATTTCTGCTTCCAACCAAGGAACAAATTGGGAATCACTGAATCACTGATGGGAGACCAAAACCAAACTGAGGTCCAGACCCACCAAACCCACGAAGGGCTCCTCACCTCTCCAGCTTAATGAAGTTGTCCATCATCCTGCAAGATGCAGGAATGACCCTTCACTTCTGGTGTGACTCATCAGCTGGAGAACCCAACAGTGGGGCCTGTTGGGTGAGAGGATGAACTGCGAGGCACCATTGCTTGTCCACCCCGCCCTGTGTTTTGCCTGTCCTGTGGTTGGCAGAATATTAAGAGTCTCTAAACATCTCAAGGGCTGCGGCAACGACATCACAGAGTGATTTGGATGTGACATAACACCACCAAGGAATCGTGATGAAACATTCCCGGTGATGTGGGATGACAGCGCTGCCTTAGGAAAGCAGAAGAGACAAAAATTTGAAAGGCAGGGAAAAGAGCAGGGAAAAAAGATGCCATGGGCTAGCATCTGTAATGCAAGCAGATCCCTCAGCCCCCTCCAGTCCGTGAGTCATTTTTTCTCCTGGAAGTAATTTCCAACCCCAGCCAGTTAATACCCAGATGTGTGAAGTGCAGAGTAAATTTGGCTCTGCTCTGAGGTGTTTGCTGTGAGGAGCAAGAGCTGTGAGAGGAATCTTTCATTTGACAGCCCCGAGATCCCTCAAGTGAAGCCCACACAGCCCCCAGGTGCTCTCCTGTTTTCCTGAGATTTAATTAGGTGAGGCTCTCCAGCACGCACTGTGTGAGATGATTGGAGGCTCAGAGGGGTGTAGGTGAGAACAAAATCTGTCTTCAAGTGAATCTGCGCAGGTCAAGGTTGGAAAAACCCTCAAAGATCCCCAAGTCCAACCATCAGCCAGCACCACCATTGTCACCACTCACCCAAGTCCTCAAGTGCCACATCAACATGTTTTCTGAACGCTTCCAGGGATGGTGACTCCACCTCTGCCCTGGGCAGCCTATTCCAATGCTTGACAACCTTTTCCATGAAGAAATTTCCCCTAATATCCAATTTAAACCTCTCCTGGAGCAACTTGAGGCCATTTCCTCTTGTCCTGTCAGTTGTTGCCAGGGAGAAAGAAGCCCAGTGTTACAATAAGTCCCACATTCCACAGGCAGTTCCTGCTGCTGCCTGTGATGTCCCTGTAGGTGGGAGATTGACACCTCCCTAAAACCTGGCAGCAGACAAATAAAATGGAATTATTCAGAGCAGAGTGGTCGGGCTGACAGGGCACCAACCAGGGCATTGAGAGCTCTGAGCTGCATTCCCAACACTGTCAGTTCTCTGCTCTCTGACCTCTCCAAATTCCCAACTCTTGGCATTGCTGGGTAGGGAAACAGAGACGAAAATGTGTCATGGCACAATCAGATCACCAGACGCTGTTTGCTGAGTCTTACACTGGGATGGCTGGATTAAATAGGGATAAAGTTCAGTCAGAGCTCAGCTCCACAGACTCTCCCGAGGCTCCCACCCTGCCCAGAGCATCCAAAGTGTCCAGCACAAGCTCTGGTCCCCATAGGAAACCTGGGGCAGGAGCAGCCCATCAACATGAGCTCCCGGAATGGGATGTGAAAATGGAGCTCTGTTCCTCGTCCTGTTCTGGGAATTTGAAAGCCTAAATCTGCTCCTTTCCTCTGAATTCCCACCCAGGGACTGTGTTTTCTGTCAGCTGCACTTACCCTGCTCTCATCCCCCAACAAGCTGCTGCTAAACTCCATCCCCAGAAAAATATTTATGGATGCCTTAAAATACAGCTCTGCTTTCCAGCATGTGTGTCTGCAAGGATCCTGCTCCTCCCTGATCATCCTCCCCCTCTTTAAGGAATCACTGCTTTCCAGGGAAGCTTGTATCACCAAATTATGTATTTTAGCAAATAAAGCTCTTGGAGGAAAATTCCCTCTTCAAATCCAGAGCTGTGCATCGTGTCTGTGGAGAAATCAAAGAACTGGGGGGTGTGTATGTCCCTCCATGACTCAACTTTTAAATAGAAAAACATGTTTTTGGTTAAAAAACTGGTGGACAAATAATGTGGTTAATAATGACAGGCTGGGATGTTTTTGAAATGCGGGTTGACTTCCTGTTAATCCCTCAGGTAGGGTTGTGGGTATATTTGATCCAAAATCTCCTGTGTCTGGGACAAACCCCACTGACCTCACAGCAACCCAAAATGCTGCTTTGAGCCTTCAGATCTGAGCCATAAAATCTGGTTGGGGCTGGGAATTCAAACCTGACTTCCAGTATCCAAAGAGAGCCCTCAACAAAGATGGAAAGGGACTTTGGACAAGGGCCTGGAGGGACAGGACAAGGGGGAATGGCTTCCCACTGCCAGAGGGCAGGGTTAGATGGGATATCAGGAATAAATCCTTCCCTGTGAGGGTGGGGAGGCCCTGGCACAGGTTGCCCAGGGAAGCTGTGGCTGCTCCATCCCTGCAAGTGTCCAAGGCCAGGTTGGACAGGGCCTGGAGCAACCTGGGACAGCAGAAGGTGTCCCTGCCTTTGACAGGGGATGGAATGGGACGGGCTTTAAGGTCCCTTCCAACCCAAACCATTCCAGGATTCCATGCAGGGAGGTACCTGTGAGAAGCCACTGCTCAGGAACTATCTGAGACTTACTTTCCTTAAAAAGAAACCCTAAAAAAATCATCACTTTTAGCAGCAACTTTGTCAAAGGAAGACAGATTTCCCTGTCACACCCTGAGTGTCTCAGCTGTCAATGAGCCGCATCGGCACCAAGCTGGGAATGGGAAATTAATCCAAGGCCTAACCTTTAGTTCTACACTTGGACAATATTTCACTGCTGAACTATAAATATTTGATCTGTTGCTCTTGTGAGTGGAATGGGCTTGTTGTGCTCATCTGCAGAGTTATCAATTATTCCAAAGTGTATTTATTGCTGATTAAATGACTTGAAAATGCCTTTCCCTGCAGTTATTATGTGATATTTAGCGAGTAAACATGGAAATTAACTATCCCAGAGTCAATATTAACCCTTTTTCTTGGGAAGGAAACCTTCCCTGCCTGACAACACATGGCACTAAGCACCAACTAAGATATTTGGAGACCAGTTAATTCTACATAATTCTATTTCTTTATGTTTTGGGATCACAGTCCATGCTAAGATCTGGCTTCCATTTGCAATCACTGGAGAAATAAACCAGCTTCTTTAAATCATCAGCAAAGAATGATTCAATGGCTGGAAAGAGGGTTATAAAAACCTCTCTGCACAACAAAATAAATTAATCTGCACCCATGACTCACAGGCACCAGCAGGATGGTTCTCCAGAAGGATGAGGAGCTGGAAACAGGCTTTGGTGAAGTTTGTTTGAATATTGGCTTTCCAGCAATTCTTTGTGCTGCTTGTTAAAGGTGGGGACACCAGGAGAGTGGGAATATCTTGTGTGATGGTGTTGAAATGGAATAGAGGAGGTTTTTTGGCATTTTACAGCTGTGGAAAGATGTGTCCCACCACTGGAAAAGTCATGGGATCAACAGAGATGCATTTGCAGGACATGGAATCACAGAATCATTTAGGTTGGAACAGACCTCCAAGACCACCAAGTCCGACCATCCCCCAGCACTGCCAAGGCCACCACTAACCGATGTCCCCATGTGGCCTTTAAATCTCTCCAGGGATGGGGACTCCACCCCTGCCCTGGGCAGCTGTGCCAGGGCTGGACGATCCTTTCCATGTAAAAATATTCCCAATATCCAACCCAAACCTCCCCTGTCACAACCTGATGCCGGGCCATGGAAGGGCTGTTCTGACCTGCTGCCTGGTGCTGTGGGGGAAGGACAGGAGGCAGGAGTTAAGGACACCCAACCATTGCCAGAGGCTGGGATTGGGGTTGGGTTGGGTCATCCCACGGTGGATGCAGAGGACAGGGCTGGATCTGGCCTCCAGCTGGCACTTCGAAAAATATTTTGAAGGTTCCCTCCAGCCCAGGCCATTCTATGATATCCTTACATGGGTTTTGATCCACAAAACTTCCTGGCTCTAGCTGTATATGGAGGATGAGACTGGCACGAGTTTCCAGTGCTGCTGGAAGTTCCCCTGGACTGTGAAGGGACACGGAACCTTCAGTGGTTTCCCCCTCAGACACCGATTATTGCAAATATCATCCGAGGGGCAGAAAAAGCCCCAGCTGAGGAGCTGCCAGTGCTGCTGCCTGCCTGGAAAACAGCAAGTGCTTCCCTTTGCCAGGAACATCACACCCTCACAGTAGGAAAAACACACTGCTATGCACACACTTCGCAGGATCAGTCTTTGGGTCAGGTCCTTGGCGCTCCTGGACTGGTGGGAAGCAACGTCACCGACCAGAGCCGAAATCTGAAAGGTCCCAACTCCCTCCCTGCCAAGCCTCTGTGTCCCCAGAGTCCCGTGATGAGTAATGTCCCTCCCCATCCCAATTCCTCAGGTGTGTTTATGATCCTGTGCCCAGCCACGGTGTCATTTCACAGCCAAGTGACACTTAAGGCAGCACATCCCTGCCAGCAGCCTCCAGCTCATTTCATGCTAATTGCTCTCCAAAATTGGGTGATGCAGTTTGGACATAAAAACATTTTCAACAGTATCATTAATTCGGGGAACATTTCCTGGAGTAATTACAGCCATCATCCTCAGTCATTCCTAATTATTCCATGCAGCCCCACCCAAACACACTTCAGGGTTGATTAGCGAGACGTGTGTTCCCCCACTCCACGCTCAAGTGGGATAAATGGGGCTCTTTAGGAAAAAGTAAATATTACCTGTTGTATCCAATGATCCAAAACGCTGAAATCCTTCATTATCTGCTCCCAAACACTTAGCAAACCTATTACTTAATTTATTTGATGGCACAGATGTTGTTAACTGGGGCTGCTGTGGGATGGCAATACGTCATGGGATCTTTTAATGATCTATTTGATGGGCTGCTTTGCCCTAAAATGATTGTTCATGGCTCAAAGAAAAGGAAGAACCAGTTTTAACTCAAATGACAAGGAATTCAGGGAAAAGACAGCAGGTCTGAATGGTAAAGATGCTCATCCAATCTTCCAGCCATAGGAAGATGCCAGGAATTTACTAGGAATTTCATCAGGAAGTGGAGTGACAGGACAAGGGGGAATGGCTTTCCACTGCCAGAGGATGGGGATAGATGGGATACTGGGAAAAAATTCTTCCCTGTGAGGGTGGGGAGGCCCTGGCACAGGTTGCCCAGGGAAGCTGTGGCTGCCCATCCCTGGAAGTGTCCAAGGCCAGACTGGATGGGGCTTGGAGCAACCTGGGCTAGTGGGAGGTGTCCCTGCCTTTGACAGGGGGTGGGACTGGATGGGGTTTAAGGTTCCTCCAACCCAAACCATTCCAGGATTCTATGACAGTGACCTCATCTCGGTCACTTAGTGGGAATCTGGGAGAAAAACAGATGGTAGATCCTAAAGTCTGAAAACCTCTGTCTGTTCGTCTGTGCTGTGGCCAAGCAAGCTTTTATCCTTGTGTGGGGTTTTTTTTCCCTTCCAGAGGAACTTGGCTGCTCTTAATGCATTTTTCCACGCTCCTGGAGCACCCTCTCCTGTCCAAGGAGCTGCAATTCCCATCTCTGTGTCCCAGCGACACAGAGACCTTTAAACCACGGGCTCAGCCCACAAGGCAGGAGCAGGAACCTGGACACATTTCCTCAGGTGTGTCAGTGTTAACTCAGCTCACCTGAACTCGCCCTGCACAGCTGGAACCTGGATACCGAGTGTGTGAGTCACAACCTGGAGCAAATAAAGGATTATTTACGTTAGACCGAGCTCTCAACACCCTGTCAGAGCCCTTTTGTAGTCCCGCTCCAATGGATCCAAAATCCTAATTTCGATAGTGTTTCAAGTGCATTTTTTACCCTTTTTTTTTTTTCTCCCAACCACACCCCATGTACCCGAGGTAACAAACACCTGGGTTATGACATTAAATCGAGGGGCAGAGCTGCAGGTCTGATGAATCCATGGGGCTCTTTGCACCCCAGGGGAGGTGTCTGGCCTGGAAAAATCCCACAGGAATCAGCAGCCCACAGTCTCCACTGTCCCCACAGTGCCAGCCCTGGGGGACACCGACCCCCTCACAGGGGTGGGCAGAACACCTGGGCCAGGCACACAGGGACGTGTGAAGGTTCAGGGCAGCACCCAGGGGGACAGGAATGGGGCTGGGAGCCCTCGTGTTCCCACATCCAGGGGAACAGGAATGGGCTTGGGATCCCTCATGTTCCCACATCCAGGGGGACAGGAATGGGGCTGGGATCGCTCGTGTTCCCACCTCCAGGGGTGCAGGGCACGGGGTGCCCATGCCCCCATGGCCAGGGGGGCCAGGAATGGGCTGGGGTCTTCCATGTCCCCACAAGTACGGGGGCTGTGATTTGAGGTCCCCCACATCTCCGCAAGCAGGGGTGACAGGAATGGCCCTGAGGTCCCTCATCTTCCCACAGCCAGGGGTGCTGGAGCAGGATCAGGGGTCCCCCCATGTCCCCAGAAACAGGGGTGCTGGGTTTGGGATCCCCCGTGTCCCCACATCCAGAGGTGACAGGAATGGACCTGGGATCCCCCATGTCCCCAGAGCCAGGGGGTCAGGAGCTCAGAGTTCCCCATGTCCTCACAGCCAGGGGTGACAGGAATGGACCTGGGGCCCGTGTCTCCACAACCAGGTGTGTTCAGGGAGGACCTGGGGACCCCAAATGGCCCCGAAGTCCTCCTCTCCGTCAGAGACACCATCGAGAGGGAGCCAGACCGGCCCTGCCAGAGGCGCTCCGGCCAGCGCATCTCTATGGTCACCGCGCCGCGTCTCTATGGCCGGGCGCTGGAGGCCCGAGCGGTGACGTCAGCGGCGTGGCGCTGCCGCCGCTGGGGGGCGGTTCTGGCAGCGCAGCTCTATGTCCCGGCCGCGCTGTGCGAGCGCGCCTCTCTATGGTGGTGCGGCGCTCTGGCCCGCGCTCGGTGGTGTGGGCGGGGCGGCGCGGGGCCGAGGCCGCCATGGCCGCCATGGCCGGCGCGGGGCCGGGCCCGGCCGAGGGGCCGTGTGTGCTGTGCTGCGGGGAGCTGGACGTGCTGGCGCTCGGCCGCTGCGAGCACCCCATCTGCTACCGCTGCTCCGTGCGGATGCGGGCGCTCTGCGGCGTCCGCTACTGCGCCGTGTGCCGGGAGGAGCTGCGGCAGGTGAGGCCGGGGCTGAGGGGGGAGCGGGGGGGCCTCGGCCGGGCCGGGCAGCGCTTCGGGCACGGGGCGGTCGGGAAAGGGCTGAGTGGGACCGACGGGGACGGAGCCCCGGGTTATCCGCCCTCCGCGCCGCTCCCGGGGCGCCGCCGCCGGTCGGGCGGGTGGGAAGCGAAATAATGAGAAAATGGAGTTTAAAGTGGATATTTTTTGGGTTTAAGTCAGCAGGGCTCGCTCTGCCAGCGCAGGATGGAGCCTCTGCTCCCTGTCCCAGGAAGCGTCTGCTCTTAGGAGGGCTCATGGAATCCTGGAATGGTTTGGGTTGGAAGGGACCTTAAAGCCCATCCAGTCCCACCCCCTCTATGGGCAGGGACACCTCCCACTAGCCCAGGTTGCTCCAAGCCCCGTCCAACCTGGCCTTGGACACTTGCAGGGATGGGGCAGCCACAGCTTCTCTGGGCAACCTGTTTCTGGATTTGTAACGTAGTTTTTACTGTAAGAACTGAAACTTTTCTTGTGTTTTTGTGTCTCAGCCTCTCTGGGCTGGGACAGGTAACTCCAGCTGTTCCCCAAGTGTTGCTGTTTCCCCCGTAATTCCCAGACTGGGAATGAGTGCTGGAGCAGTGGTAGGTGGCTCCTGAAGGATTTATACCTTGAACAGCTGCAGCCTCCGGAGTCCAGCAAGAGCAGGGAGGATCCCGGGCACGTGGCACAGATAATTCGGGAAGTGTTGTGGTGTTTTGTTCCTTGCCTTCCCGGGAGTTAAGAAAAGAAGAGACAGTGGTTTCCCAGTCAGACTCTGTGTAATTGAGTCCCTTGGAGACTCCAGGTTTCCCTGTGATCCCACAGGAAATGGGGAGGAGCCGAGTGCAGGGCTCCTGGCAGGCATTCCCTGTGGGAAGGCTTCGGTTGGTTGAGGGTATTTACTCTCGGCGCAGCTGTTGGAGCAAAACAGACCAGAAACGTTTCCTAATCTCGTTCAAAATCCAAAGGCCAGGCTGGTCCAATCCACGTTTCCCGGGCAGCTGATAAGGACAAGTCCCGTTGGCTTCGGTGACAGTGCCTGGGGGTGGTGACAGCTGGGGCTGGCACAGGGCAGGTCCCAGAGTTTGCCTGGAATCCCAGAGCCCCTGCAGGCTCCTTGGGATCCCAGAGCTCCTGCTGATCCCAGTGTTGTGTCCCACAGGTGGTTTTTGGGAGGAAGCTCCCATCCTTCTCCTCCATAGCCCTTCATCAGCTGCAGCATGAGAAGAAATATGACATTTATTTCATGGATGGGGAGGTCTATGCCCTGTACAGGTGAGCTCTGGCCCCTCTCTGGCATGTGGCAGGAAGTGTTTGGGAGGGCAGGGTGCTGTGGTTTCCTGGGAATGGAGGTGCTGGGTACGTGAGTCACCTGCTGGGCACGTGTTTGGGCAGGTGAGAGGCTGGAGCAGGGCAGTGGAGGGAACACTCACAGCCTCTCAAGGCTGGAGTGCTGCAGCTGTCAGTAAAAGTCATTTTTTGCACCTTCAGCAGCAGCAAACTTGCTGAAAACCTTTCCATTCCTTGCATGGCTGCTGTGGAAATTGGTGAAGGCATAATTACTATTAGTTGTGTATTAATATCTGCAGGTGCCAATAAAATTACTCTTATATATATTGCTGGGCTAATTAAGGACTTACCCAGCCCAGTTGTGCCAAGTATTATATGAAGAGCAATCTTGGCTTTTACAAAGATTTTATTCTGAATGAGGGAGAAAAAGGGTGAAGTGAAAAACCAATGGAGAGTAAAACTGTGTCATAAGCATCACGTTCCACAAGTATTTTTCATAATATGCTTAATTAGGAGGGTTTAAGATAATTAAAAGCACCTACAAGGAAAGAAGTGTGAAAAAGATGAAGCCATGCAGGCATTGGAACCTTTTTCTTGGAGAATTGGGCATTATATCCACCCTGGTTTGGGCTAAGGATGTAACTTTGATACATGTACAATTTTACATGGTGTCATATTTATGGAAATGAGGGAGTGGGAGTCTCCCACTGAGACCAGTGCTCTGGCAGAGTTGGAAACCCCTGTGGGGTGGACTTTTTTGTGGTGTTTTTTTCCCCCTCCTTTTCTATTACAATTCTTTATCCCTTCCCACTGTATTCCTCAGTTTCTAGCGGTGGAAAGTGTAATGAAACTGGGTGTGAATGTTGCAGGAACCAGCTGGATCTCCAGTAAGCACAGGGATTGTTACAGTCCCCTCAGTTTTAGGGACAGTGTCATTCTTACACTGCTCAGCTCCTCTCCTGCAGTTGAAACATCGGTGTAATTTGGTTCCATCCCACTCCTGACATAGGACAAAATTCTTGGAATAAGCAGGACTCAAACCTCATTACAGATGCTGGAAGACCCATAAAGCTGGAGCCTTCTGCCAGGGACAGAATACTTGTGTTTTGATGGAGGTCTCGGGGTGCTGGGAGGGAACTGGCACATTTTTGGGAACTCTCTCCTCCCTTAGGAAGCTGCTGCAGCACGAGTGCTCCTTGTGCCCCGATGCCAAGCCCTTCAACACCTTTGCAGACCTGGAGCAGCACATGAGGAAGCAGCACGAGCTCTTCTGCTGCAAACTCTGTGTCAAACACCTAAAGGTGAGCTGGGCCTCTGCTGGGATGTGTGGGGAGGAGGAGGAGGAGGCTTTCCCTCCATGACTTCCCAGAGTACCTGGGGAGCTGGGAAGAAAGGAGGTGGCTGAGCAGCAGTTATTTTAGTTTCCTCTGCCTGCCTGCAGCGAGGCCAGTTGCTTTATTTGAAGTCTTTCAGCTTCCACAAACTGATTAATGAAGGAGGGCTGGAGGTTCTCCAGATTTTAAATTAAACCCCACGGTGGTGGTGCCACAGTTGGCGTGTGCCAGGTGAGCTGGAGTTTGCTGCCAGAAAGGATGGGATCCAGAAGGGAGCAGGTTGACCTGAGTGAACCCTATAAGATTGGGAACAGATTTGACTCTTTCCTGTGGTTGTGCAGTCCCCGGAGCTGATTGAAGGGAGGGAGGGCAGGACCCTGGGGAGGCATTTCATGGTCAGCGTAGCCAGCACTGAGAGAACTTGTTTGTCATTTTCTCTCCCAGAGAATTCACAAACAATATTAAAACTGTTGCTTTTTGATTTCAGAATATTGTAGAGATTTTTATTTCACTGAAAAAAATTCCACTGTTCCAAAGAGTTACTTGTACCCACTGAAAAGAAGCTCTTAAACTTGCAGAAGCTTCAGTCCATCAGCCCTGGCAAAGCTAAACAAACCTTTTCCCAGAGCAAGTTCCCAGGCCTTGTCTAGGCCAGAAATAAAGGATATTCTGTTGTCAAGGCTGGGTTGATCCTTTTGGCGTCTCCAGAACCTTCCTACCAAAATAGCTCACGTGTTAGTGGGGACAGAGGGTTGGCTTGTGATGCAGAATTTGTTCATCCAAGTGTCTACTCTGTAGCTATTTTGGGTGGTTGCTGTCTGAGGAAAGTAAAACAGCTCACTGGGGGTTTATGAGGCCTTTTAATTTGAGTATGCAAAATACTGTGTGCTCATAAATGCATACTTAGGATTTTCCTCCCCCAGAGATGATAATTTAGAGTTTGTTGCTGTATCAAAAAAAAAGTGAAAAGGGAAAAAAAGTTAATTAGATCTGTTTCCAGTGTACAAACTGAGAGAAATTCAAATTGGATTTAATTTGGATCCATCACTCGAATTGAAATCACCGAACACTTTAGGTGTTGGTGGTCAAACTGCATCTTTTTGAAGCAAGTCTTTGACTCCTCCAAACGGACGAGTTGGGCACAACCCCGGCTCGTTCCTGTCCTCAGTCCACAAGAGGTGCTGCGTTATATCTGTCTATCCATCCCTGCAGATTTTCACCTCTGAAAGGAAGTGGTATTCCAGGAAGGACCTGGCCCGGCACCGGATCCACGGGGACCCCGACGACACGTCCCACCGGGGGCACCCCCTGTGCAAGTTCTGCGACGAGCGGTACCTGGACAACGACGAGCTGCTCAAACACCTGCGCAGGGATCACTACTTCTGCCACTTCTGCGACTCTGACGGCGCTCAGGAGTACTACAGGTTGGGCACGAGCTCTTTCTGTGCCCTAAATTGTGGGGGGGGGAAAATTGCCTGGGTCTGCTTTGGATTTTAGGGAAAGTAGTGTTTGATGGCAGAGTGGAGGAATGGGAGCAGGTTGGCTGCAGTCTCTTGTTCCTCAGACAAACAGCCAAAATATTCACTTTGTGTCTAGTTCATGCCTTGAGGTTTTCTTCATTAACGTTAAGCATGGAAGGTTGTGCTTTGCAGCCTGACAGCAGCTGTTTGGTGTGGTACCTCCAGAGGTGGACAGGGAGAGAGGAAATGGCCTCAAATTGCACCAGGGGAAGTGTAGACTGGACATTAGGAATGTTTCATCATGGAAAGGGTTATCAAGCATTGGAACAGGCTGCCCAGAGTGGTGGTGGAGTCCCCATTCCTGAAGTGTTCAAAAAACATGTGGGTGTGGCAGTTGGGGACGTAGTGGTGGTGCTGGTTGATGGTTGGACTCAGGGATCTTAGAGGTCTTTTCCAACTTTAACAGTTCTGTAATTCCATGATTCTAATGCTCCAAAGTTCATGTGCAAAGGGGATAGGAGTAATTTTTTGTGTGAAATACGTGCCCTAAGCACAGCTGGGTGTGATGAGCATCCACCACTGGGTTTGGTTGGACATGTGGGCTGTGCCCTGTGGTCTGTGTTGGCCGTACAGAAGGGGTTTCACTGGAAGACTTCCCTGGGGGTATAACAAAAACCAACCACCCGCGTTTGTCAGCAAAAGAGTGGCCGTGTGCCACGGGAAGAAGGTGCTGGAGGGGTGTGAGCTCTGCGTTTTCCCCGCAGTGACTACGAGTACCTGCGGGAGCACTTCCGCGAGAAGCACTTCCTGTGCGAGGAGGGCCGGTGCAGCACGGAGCAGTTCACGCACGCCTTCCGCACCGAGATCGACTACAAGGCCCACAAGACAGCCTGTCACAGCAAGAGCAGGGCCGAGGCCCGGCAGAACCGCCACATCGACCTCCAGTTCACCTACACCCCCCGGCACCCCCGCAGGAACGAGGGTGAGCGGGGCACAGACGGAGCCCTTCCAGGGGCTGGGAAGGAGTTCCTCCCTGGGGGAGCGTGGCACAGGTTGCCCAGAGAAGCTGTGGCTGCCCCATCCCTGGAAGTGTCCAAGGCCAGGTTGGACGGGGCTTGGAGCAGCCTGGGCTAGTGGAAGGTGTCCCTGCCCATGGCACGGACTCGTTGAACCTTAAGTTCCCTTCCAACCCAAACCATTCCACTGCTCTGAGGGTTTTCAAGAACATCTGGTGAACATTTCATAGCCATGAAGAAATTCTTCCTGTTCATCCTGGAACAGGACCTGACAGGTTGTAGAGGTTGAAGGTGACCAGAACTTAACCAGACCAGGCCCTGGGCAACCTGATGTGCTTTTGGGTTGGCCTTGCTTTGAGTGAGGGGCTGGAGCAGGTGACATCCAGAGGTCCTTTCCTACCTGAATTGCTGTAGGATTTTTTCCCCCCATACATGGATTTAACAATGACACGTAATTTTAGGAAAAACTGCTGACTTAGTCATCAGAAAGAAATGAAGATAATTTGTTTGTACGAGTGTATTTTTGCATTTTTCAGGCAGAGTGTGATGGCCAGATTAGAGAAATAACTGAGAGTGATCAACCCTCCCTCCTGTTCAGGTGTTGTAGGTGCAGAGGACTATGAAGAGGTTGACAGGTACAACAGGCAAGGGAGGACGGGCAGGTTGAACGGCCGGGGGAGCCAACAGAACAGGAGAGGCAGCTGGAGGTACAAGAGGTGAGTAGCACAACATTGGGTGGAGTTTTACTCCTGTTCAGTGTTGTTTTTCACTTGCCAATTCACAATATTTTGGTGGATCTGTGGGAAGTGGGTACAAAATTTGGAGGCCTCCGTGGTGAATCTTTAGCTGGGAGTAGAATGAGCTTCCAGTCCAAGTCCGTGTGCTGGCTACAAGCTTGGTCAACATGGAATTACTTTGTGTGATGTTTCAGCTCAGGAAGCAAACAATGTGATCCTCAGCTTGTGGGTTAAATCAACTCAGAACCCTAAATTAATTTCAGCAGCTGTTTTTATGTAAACTTCTCTAAGTAGGATATTCTGAAATAGGTGATGAGTCTGTGCAGGTTTAATGGAGTTTTTGGTCTGGGTAGTCATGAAATTCCTGTTCTAAGGACTGTGCTTTTCATTGAACTAACACGTCTCCGTGTGACCAGAGTGCTTGGGAAAAGGAAGAGGGGGAAATATTGAAATGAAATTTTGCATTTCCGTGTCTCTTCCTCCACACCAGACCTGGGTGCTTTATACATCCTGCACATCTTATTTTCTTCTTTTTCTCGCTCGATGGGCAGCTGGTTCATTACTGGTGATTCCAGTGGGGAAAAAGTCCATCCCAAAACACTCCTGTGTTGGTGTTGTGTGTAGATCGTGTGTGTGTTGGGAGTTCATGACCAGCTGTGTCTCCAAGAGTTCCCATGGCCTCCAAAAATGATTCCATACGTTTGAAAATGAACAGGAGAGACAGGTGTCCCCTTCGTCCTTGGTGCTGTCTCTCCGTGTTCATATCAGTTCTGGCCTGGATCGTTATTCCCACACGGGGAACTTGGAAATGAAGGGGGGAATATTGTCTGGCCAGGGTGGACTGGAGTGGTGGGGCTGGTTCATCCTTCTCAGCAGGTGACAGCACAAGATCAGGGATGTCACCAGAGCTGGCACCAGTGAGGTGAGAGCTGGAGCGAGGCAGCTGCTCCGTGCTCCTTGCTGTTTGACCAAGGACATGTGCCCTGTCCTGCAGGGAAGAAGAAGACAGGGATGTTGCAGCAGCAGTCAGGGCGTCTGTGGCAGCCAAACGGCAGGAAGAGAAGAAAAGGGTGGAGGACAAAGAGGACGGCGGCAGCAGCAGGGGGAAGAAGGAGGATTTGAGGGATCCCGACGTGCTCGGCTCCAAACGTGTGCCAAAGGCTCCGAACGATGTGGCAGGTGAGTGTGGAACAGGTTCTGCAGCTGCAGGGAGCAGGGTTGGGGCTGCACATCAGCCTGGCACAAGTGGGAATCACTGTGCCTTGCTCCCAAGAGCTGCTGGATGTGGATGGAGCTCTGCAGAACCTTAAATCAGCGACAGGGATTTGCAGTGGGATGTGTCCCAGCAGGCTGGGCTCCTGCAGCAGGTTAGACCCGAGGTGGAGCTGGGTAGAAATATCAAATGCAGGTAACATACAACATGAGGTGATGGTACATCCAAATCAAGATAACCCAAGAAGGTAACATTTCCCACTCAAGCAGGAAGAACTGATTTTTGGGATGCTTGAGCTGAGTTTCCCCTTTTTTGAGAGCAAGTTATTGCCAGTAGAAGTTTGTAACTGGTGAAAGCAAACCTGACTCAGGTCCAGTTTGGGGCACATAAACACAATGCAGTGCTGTTTTGATATTACTGTTCGTCCAAATCCATTTTCCACTGTTTTATTGCTCCTGCAATAAGATTTTCACTTAAAGATTTTATGGAACTTCCTTAGGAGCTGGGAGCTGCTGGGAGCTCTGTGTGGTTAATGAGTACAGCTCATCTGGGGGGCCGGGCAGGGTTATCCCTTCCACCTTTTGCTGTTTGTGTCACAGCCATTACCAATCTGTCCCTGTACTCTGCAGCACAGAACTGGGATTTTAAGGCACATTAAACTGGGAATGAGCTGTGTTTCAGTGTAACACCACTGCCCAGGAACTAATTGCTGAGCAGTTTGGGCAGAGGTGCGAGAGGCTGCTCAGGGGAGCAGCTTTCCAGGTGAAGCAGCTTTGGCATAAATCAGTTGGAGCATGGAGGCTCTGCTGAACATCCTGACCCTGTGCAGGCAGCTGAGTGGCAACCTCAGGGTAAGACTGGGGGCATTGGCATCTCAGTTTCTAGAAGGTTCCCTCACTAAGTACTTCCCCTCCATGTTTTACTCACTTAAAGTATCATGAATTTCCTGTATGCCATGACATAATGGTGAATGCATTTAATTGAAGGAAATAGTGATGCATGGATTTCAGTCATTCTGGAATGTCAGTTAATGGCATCATCAGCTGCTGAAAATAGGACTTGGTAATGCTGCTGTTGTGTTCACTGGTAGCCCCCACTCTGCAATGAATGGGCTTGAGTTGAAAACATTTCTTTGCTCTTTTTGTCACTCTTCCAAAAGAAGCAGCTGCTAACGGTGCTCTCAGCCAAGACGACTTTCCAGCAATTGGCTCGCCAGCAGGACCTCTCCAAGGGTAAGTTTGTGCAGGGCTGCAGCAGTGAGAAAGCAGATTTAGAAGTTTATTTATGTCCTGCATTTCTGTGGAGAATAATATTGGGAGATCGATCTCTCAGTGCCTCCCTTGCCCATCCCCTCCTGCCTCGAGCTGTTTCTGTGCCGCTCACCTGTGGCACCGGCTGTTGCTGCAGCTCATGGCTTGGTCTTGGAATCATAGAATCATGGAATATCCTGAGCTGGAAGGGACCCAAAAGGGTCATCAAGTCCAGCTCCTGGCTCTGCCCAGGACAGCCCAACAATCCCACCATGTCCCTGAGAGCGTTGCCTTTGCAGGATGTGGCAGCTCGAATGTGCCTGTACCAGCTCTGGTCAAGGTGAGGGGTGATGAGACAGTGCTGATAACACAGCAAGGCTGGTGGCACTTCTTGAGGAGACCCATTGCAGGTGCAGTTGGTAACCCTGAGTGCATTTGTGTCCTGTTAAAGCTGGGTCACTTGTGCCACCCTTAGTAACAGTTTGAGGAAAGGTGTGGAGAGTTGCGGGGCTCGTGTTGCCCGTTGGGGTTGTGCTGCCGTAACAGGGTAACCCCAACCTCTCCCCTCCTCACAGCTCTGCCCAGCCAGCACTGGTTAAGCTTAAAGAAGAAGATTTCCCAAGCCTGTCATCCTCTGCAGCTCCCACCATCTCGTCTGGGATGTCTCTGACATACACAGCGACTGCAAAGAAAGCGGCCTTCCAAGAGGAGGACTTCCCAGCCCTGGTGTCCAAAATGAAGCCCAACAATAAGACAGTAACTAACATCACATCTGCGTGGAACAACGGTTCCAGCAAAAACGTGGTCAAAGCCATCACCAACCCCTGTGTCAGCCAGCCAGCCAAAAAACCATCCTTGAACACCTCGAAGGGAAGTAAGAAGAGCAATAAACTCTGTGAGTCGGACGACGAAGACGGCGGCGGTGGCTTGACCACCCAGGAGATCCGGAACACGCCGACCATGTTCGACGTCTCGTCCTTGCTGGCGGCTTCTACCTCACAGACTTTTACGAAAGTGGGCAAGAAAAAGAAGGTGGGGGTTGAGAAGCAGAGACCGTCGTCCCCACGCCCGTCCCCGGACACGGCGTTCCCCAGGCCATGCGCGGAAAAGCCCCCGGAAGCAGAGCAGCCCTCCAGGGTGTTCCCTGCTCCCCATGGCCCTGACAGACCCACAGCTGTCATGAATGGTCACTCGGAAAAGTCCTCAGCGGTCTGTGGTACACCCAAAGAGCCCCCCGGCCTTAAAAAGCCCACAGTGACTAACAAATGCCCTTTACCTCAGGAAGACTTCCCAGCTCTTGGGAGCTCAGGATCAGCCAGGATGCCCCCGCCACCAGGTAAGCACAGAGGGAGTCACAGAATCCTGGAATGGTTTGGGTTAGGAGGGGTCTTAAAGATCATTTCATTTCACCTCCCTTCCATGGGCAGGGACACCTTCCACTAGCCCAGGTTGCTCCAAGCCCCGTCCAACCTGGCCTTGGACACTTCCAGGGATGGGGAAGCATAGCCAGCTTTGCTTGGAAGTGACTTAGAGAAACATGGCCCGTGGATGTGCTGTATAAGTCTCCTTCTGGCTCTCGTGTGAGGTTCTGCCACCAGGTTGGGCTCTGGAGGTAAAGGCAGCCTGGGTGACACAAGGGGGCTGGAATGTCCTCTGGGAATCCTGGCTAAAGCAGTGGCAGTGTTGGGACACCTCTGTCCCACACAGCTGGAGGTGTCTGGTCACTGGGGTGGCTCATGGATGAGCAGCTGGTTTTCACCTGTCCCTGCTCTTCTTGGAGCTGTTGTGCTTGGGAGGCCGCTGTGGGTGAAGGGGATCTGGCAGTGTCCTGTGCCTGCTGACACTCCTCAGTCGGCTTCCTTGGCTGCTTCCTCCCGTGTTTGCAGAGGTTTCCTGCCCTGCTTTTAGCCATGACCTTGTAAAAGTGGAGAGACAGCAACAAGCGTGACTTGGAGTGGTTTTAATGGAGGTGGCACCGCTGTTCGTGCTGCTCTGCAGCTCCTGCTGGGGGAGAGGCCAGGCCTGGTGCTGCTGTGCCTCCTCAGGTGATTTCTGTTCACTTTAATAATGCAAAAGTGTTTTTCATTGTGACTTTGAGTGGGCTTTAAAAACTATTTTCCATTGAAAAAGTAAATGAATAATTAAAGCGCTTTCTGCGTAGAGGAACATCAGCCACCCTGAAGTGCTTCTTGAAGATTTCCGCCTCTGATTTTTAGGTTTTCTCCAATATAGTCATGTCTGCACTGCAGCTTCTTGGTGCTTCTGCAGAGTGTGGCAGACACTGGTGTGAGTTTTAGCTGGAGGGGGGTGTGTGTGTTCTAACTCCTGCCCCTTCCCTGTTCCCCCCAGGCTTTAACTCCGTGGTGCTGTTGAAGAACCCTCCTCCGCCTCCGGGCCTGTCGGTGCCTGTCAGCAAACCCCCCCCGGGCTTCGCTGTCATTCCATCCACCAACATCTCTGAACCTGTCACTACAGCTCTGAAAGAGTGAGTAAATAACTCCTGGGAGTGAGTTATGTCCCACAGTGCACCTCAGTTCTGTCAGGTGGGCTTCAAACAGCGCAGGGAACACTCGGGGTTACTCTGAGCGGGGCCAGCTCGGTGAAGATTCCCATTGGGAAGTCCTGGGGTGTTTGTGGGCTGGATTCAGGAGAGTTGTGTAAAAGAAAACAGCCCTGTGTAGCTGCAGCTGAGGAAGTGAAAACCTGTGCAGTGTGGCTGCTCAGACTTTGGTCTATTTTAGATTTATTTGGGAATCTGCAGCTTCAACATATTCCTTCACCTTGCCATCGATTCTGTCGGAGTCCCAGCAGCAAAGTGCTGAGGCGTGTTCTCCTTGGTGACCTTCACTGCCCTGATTCTTCCCAGTAGCTGCTCTCTGGTCTTTCTGGGATAGAAAGAGGAGTTTGTGAGAAAAGGGGAGGGGAAACTGTGCCAGTTAAATACAGGACCTGCATTATCTGTCGGTTTATTCGTGGTGTGGTCTTTGCCCATGTCTTTTTAGTGAACTCCCCTTACAAAGCAGCTCATCAGGACCGTGTTAAATTTGGATTTTACATATTCTGTCTATGTAAAGCTGGAATCTGATACAGAAATCCCATATTTTATCCTGGCAAGACAGCTGTGTGCAGCTCACAGTAGTGCATGTGGAGCTGGGTGGAGGAAGGACATGCAGCCTGTAAACCAGAACAGCCTTGGGATTTATGTTCCAGGGCACTTTGCTGTGACACAAACCAACGTCAGAGTCACTTTTGGTGTTTCCCAATGCAGGCCAAAACCCTGTCATGGATCATACTTGATACCTGAGAACTTCCAGCAGAGGAACATCCAGCTCATACAATCCATTAAAGAATTTCTTCAAAGCGACGAGTCCAAGTTCAATAAATTTAAAACTCATTCTGGGCAGTTCAGGCAGGTGAGTGGGTTCCCAAAACCTCCCTCTCTGGGAGACCTGAATCCCAGTGGGATTTTTGAAGAGATCTGTGTATTTCTAATCCTCCTCCCATGCTGTTGCCTGCAGGGTGTGATCTCTGCAGCACAGTACTACAAGAGCTGCCGAGAGCTGCTGGGGGAGAACTTCAAGAAGATATTTAAGGAGTTGTTGGTGCTGCTGCCGGACACGGTGAAGCAGCAGGAACTGCTCTCTGCTCACAACGACTTCCGAGTCAAGGAGAAACAAAGCTCCAACAGGCCCAAAAAGAACAAAAAGAACGTTTGGCAGGTGGACTCCCCCGTGGACCTCGACTGCTACATCTGCCCCACGTGTAAGCAAGTGCTGACTCAGCAGGACGTGGTCACCCACAAAGCTTTGCATATTGAGGATGAGGAGTTCCCTTCCTTGCAGGCAATCAGCAGGATCATCAGTTAGCTTTCCTGAGGGCCCACGCACCAGGCTCTGGCTCTGGAGATGCACTTTTGGAATGAGGTTTGGCAGCGTAGAGTGGCTGAGGGCCGGTTGAGTCAGTGAGGAGCAGGTAATTTGGGGAGCCCTCTCGGGGCAAAGGGATCATGGGAATGTGCTGGAGCTCATCCCTCCCACAGTCTGAGCTCCCAAAATCTGGGGTAGGGTTAGGCTGAGCCGCAGGGTGGGCAGGCAGGGGCTCCTTCCTCCTGGAACATGCAATAGCTGGGAATCCTTTCTGATCTGCAGACTGACAGGGGACACGATAGGGGAATAAGTATCTGGTTTGGGGGTTTCTTTCTGGTTTTGGGGTGGGGGAAGATTAGGGAATCACTGAAATGAACAGAAGTGGCTTCCCTTATAACATTCTGATTTTTTTGTGCTATTTCAGTGAAGATCACACTAGTCAGGGGTACAAAGGTGCAGGAAAGATGCTGCTCACTGGTGTGACCAGGAGCGCTGCAAACACTGGGCTGCAGAGTTTCCTGTCTGCAAACAGAGTCCATTCTGCTGCTTGAAGAATTGGGCTGGTCTGTGCAAGATTTGAAGTTGCCTCTGACCTTTTCTGTAACATGTTCTTTCAAGAAACTGATTTTGTAGCCCTGCATGTACAGTAACAGCATTAAGGCTTTACTCTGTGTAAAGCACACGGGAATTTTATTTAATGACTGCCATGTTTCTAATTTCTTGGTTGTATTACTGGTGGGAGCTCCCAACAGCATCCTGGGACATTAAATGCTGCTGATCACTGACCATGTTTTCTGCAGTGCCTTTAAGTGCATTTCTCTGACACCTGCACCTCCCTCGGTGACACCAGGCTGATGTAGCTTTGCTCATGTTTTTTGGCATCCACAAATTCCACCTCCTCAGAGGAAGAGGGGGAATCTCTTCATCCTGTGAGGTGACTCCTCCAGCAGCAGCTCTGAGGTGCCGGAGTGCCAAGAGCCCTCCCTGCCGTGCACTTCCATGGCTGTAGTTCAGTGTCTGACCCCTCCCATCTCCAGGTTTAGTTATTTTTAACATGCAGGAATAAAGCTGAAATTAATTTATGTAATTTTTAGTGACAAAACACAGCTTTTCTAGAGGCATCATTTCCATGAAATCAAGCTCAGAGTTAGTCCTGCTACAGCCACTTTTCCTTGCCTTACAAGTTATTTTTGCTTGCTCAGGCTGCAAAGTGCTTCGGGTTTCTTTTCTGGGTATTTAAGACTCTTTTGAACACCTGAACGTGTTGTATTTGGCCCCAAATGGGGCTGGGGAGGATGACTTGCCTGCATGGCTGTTCAGACACTGCATGAGCACATGAAGAGTCGGGACATGTCCCTGTTGCTGCCTCAGGTGGGACCCTGGATCCGAGCGGGACGCGATGCCCGAGGCACAGCCACCCCACAGGGCTGGGGGGGATGTGGGGGGTGCCAGCTGCCCCCACCACTTCAGTCAGCTCCTCTCCCATCTTTGGTTTGTAAAGTTCAGGGGGCTGAGATGCATCTTCCCTGCAGCAGGATCTTCCCTCTTCCCTTGGTTTTCACTCTTTCTCTGTCAGCAGCTCCCTGGTTCCCTGGGCTGGTGCTGCTGGGAGTTCCCTCGAGGCTCTGGATCTCCAGGGCCTGCTCTTGCAGTTTCCTTGTTTCTTGTGCTCACCTGATTAAATAAAGTTATTACCAAATTTTTTTTCTATTCATTTTTAACTCTTTATTGAAAATAAGTTGCAGTTGGTTACACGGACACCGAAAATACAGAATCACAGATTGTTCTCTGAAAAGATATTTTTATATATATAATATATACAAAATTGTAAACATTTTAAACTTATTTCCATACACAGTCCACTTTTATACTACACTGCACAGAGGTTAAGTGACAACTGCAACTCCTGGAAGCGTCTGCTCGGACAGAGGTATCTGCAAAGAAACTGAACTTCCCAAACCACAGTTGGGATCTGTTGGAGATTAAAACTCTTAAAGGATCTGAGGTTTAAATGTGTATTGCAACGAAATCCAGGCAGCTGAACTTGGGTTTCAAGTCGAGACAGTGAAGGCTGTTTCTGAGCCCCACTGGGGTGGGAGAGGCTCTCGTGACACACAGAGGGTCAAAATGCAGCTGAGAATGGGACAAGGGGGGGCCAGAGCGGGACCAGAGCCACCTGCTTGGGGACAGCACGGGCTGGGAGGAGTCTATGAATATGTACAGCAGCTTTCACTGAGAGAAATGGCCATTCCACAAAATAATGATGGGATTTGCTATGGAATAGACGGTGAGCAGGGTTAGTGGGAGCTCAGAGCAGCTCAGGAGCAGCACTGTGCCGTTCTGAGGGGCTGGTGATGGGCAGGGGAGGGTACAAAGTACCCTGTAAGGAACTGATGGACAGCAGAAAAGAAATGCTGGGGGTGTCACTTGCTGTTGTGGCAGGAACTGATGGGAAACTCATCCCACAGTGTCCAGGCACAGCTGGTTGGCGTGGCATAAAGGGAGGGATCTGCTCTTGGGGTCTGCTCAGCCTCCTGAGACACAGAAGCAGGTAATGGGGGGGATATTTTTACTAAATATCACTTAAGCAAAGCTTCCACCTTGCTAGGAACAGCTTAAAATGCTGACAAAAACTCCAATTCTTTCAAATCTTTTAATATGCTTTAAATAAATTGCAAACCCCACAACATGGTTACCCCAGAGCTGGGAAACACCCACGTTGTCCTGGCAGAGCCTCCTGGAGCAGGGGGGTTGGGCAGAACTCAGCATGGGATTGCTGGAATTCTGCTCTTTACACCCAAATTCAGTGCTAACAGAAGGTTTTGGGCTGAGCTGAGCACAGCAGAGTCCTGCCCTCTGCGAGCTTGAGGTGCTGGGGGGTCCCGAGCTCTGAGGAGAACAGAGGGGCATAAACAGCTTGTGAGGATGGCACAGCCCTGCTATGCTCAGGACAGTCCTGGCGTGGTTTTGGGACAGCCTTGGCATGCTCAGGACAGTCCTGGCATGTTTTTAGGATGTGGTCTGGGTAGTTATGAGGGAACAAGTGCTGTTGTACCACATCAAATGGGCTGGGAGAAAAAACTGGGGAGAAAGAAGGTGGAAATGGATGTTACAAATACCTGAACCCCCAGTACAGCAGTTCCTGCTCCCATGGCTCCAGTTCTCTAACCATGGGCCCCTTGGGCTGTATTTATTCCAGCCCCACCTGTACACTCTGATCTGCCCAAGGGGTCATGGACACACTGAGGTGTGGCAGCACCTCGGGCACTGCAGGGTGACACCGAGCAGCTCATGGGGACACTGGCGGGGCTCACAGAGGATTCCAAGCAGGATTCCAGGCACAGGGTGTCAGTGGCCAGGCTGTGGGGTTGTGTCTCACCCTGCCTCTGAGCATGTTTGGATTCAGCTGGGTGGAGGCTGCTGTGGGGTTGGGGAGCTGCACGTGGGGCCTTCGGCAACAGCCCCCCCCGCCAACCCAAAAAGGGGTGTTTGGGTCAGGCTGAGGTGGGTCAATGCTCCTTTCAAGGCTGGCGTATCTTGGCTGCTATGGGGCCACCTGACTTTTGGGTTGTCCCCTCCTGCCTCAGCGTGGCCACATCCTACATAAACCCATCACTATTCCCTGGGAAAACGCCCCAGCTATGGGTGTCCTGCCTGTCCGAGCTGCCCGTCCCAGTGCCACCCCAGCAGGGACGGGCTCCCCTCCCTGACAGGGACCGGCATTTTGGGTGCAGAGGGATCAGGGTTAACCTCCCCTGAGGTGCCTGTTGATGTGGCTGGACACGTTATTCCCTGCTCTGGTTTAATCAAGGAACAATCTGTCCTGCCTTCCTGCTGCCAGGAAGCCTCTCGGGTGCCCAAGCCCTTTCTCCTCCTCCTCCTCCTCCTCCTCCTCCTCCTCCTCCTCTCCTGCCCAGCAGAGCAGCCAAGTGCTGCCTGCAAGGTGAAGGTAACACTGATTTTTAAGAGCTGGAACAAGCTGCTGACCTCGAGAAGAACCAGGTGCCTCAGCCGGGGGCTGGAGCTGTGCCGGCGGCATTCCCATGGCATTCCCTGACTCCCGAGGTCAGTCCTGGCACCAAGCGTGGTGGGATGTGCGTGTGGGGCAAAGAAAGGCAATGCAGGCCTCGGGGGGGACATTCAGAGCGTGTAATATTCAGCATGGGAGGTACAGGGGGCAGGACACGTCCCGCAGGCAGACACAGCTTTAGCTCTTCACGGATACAAGGAAACTCTGGAACAGTTATATTATAGTTAGAAAAAATACACTGTACCGAACGAACATTATCTCACGTACAATCAATTTAAACATTTAAATTGATTATAATTTTGCTAAAATATTAACACGAGTACTGGTTGTGCTGCTAAAGTTTCAGTGTTCCCTCTAAGGAAAATATTGCTACAGTTCTACCGGACCCTGTATTAAAATCCTTGGGGTTTTTCCTTTCCCAGCAAGACTGGCTCCACAAAACCACAAAGATCCTGGAATTCATTTAGGCTACCCTGGGGTTTGGGTGTCCCTGGTCAGGCACCTGTGAGGAGCTCAGCACTGGCACAGCCAGGGAATGCTCATGGAACCCGGCCTGGATGGAGGGAGGCAGGGAATGCACTTTGTCACCGGCAGTGACCGCTCAGGAGGATTTGCTGCTGATTACTTGGTTTAAATGGGATTTGGCAGCAGGAATGAGCTGTGGTGGTGGTGACCAGGACCTGCTCCACGGGGAGGAGCAGGCTCTGACTGTTGCTCCTCACGAGGGCGAAGGCAGCAGCGGCTTTGCCAGAGGGAACTGGCAAGGCAAGACCCCGGAGTGCCGGAGAACTGGGAGAGCTGGGGGTCTCCAAGGATGGAGCTGCCACCAAGGGGGTCAAGAAGTCAAGTTTCAGCTCCTCTGCTCAGTCCTCAGTGACACATGGCCTGGATCAGCTGCTGCACAGGCAGGGAAAGTCATCAGGGAAAGTTATCAGGGAAGGCCGGCAGGGAAAGCTGGAAGGGAAAGCTGGAAGGGAAAGCTGGAAGGGAAAGCTGGAAGGGAAAGCCGGCAGGTGGCTGACAAGGACCCACTGGATTTTACATATTTTGTTTTTACAAGGCAGGAATTTTGCAGCTGAAACTCCAAACTGAGCCTCTTTCCTGGGTGCTTTTCACTGACTCTCTCCCCCCACCATTTCCAAACATGTGAGCCCAGTCGGGAGGGACTTCAATGGCCTGTGAAGCCTTTCCAGTTCCCTGCCTGAATTCCTCATTTCTGGAGACTGCAGGGTGACACACATGTCCCCACCTGGGGTTCTGCTGCAGCTGACAGATGGTGGCTGCTCCCAGTATGAAAACACAAGTCCAATATTGCTCCTAATGGCCTTGGACTTTGCATCTGAGCCCCCGCCCTTGGTGCCAGGGCTGAGCGGGAGGACGTGGCAGCGCTGCCAACCAGAAACTTCCCAATTCCCTGGTGAACAAACAGAACCACAACATGCCATATCCTGCTGATCACAGGCTATTCCCAGTTAGCAGCCAGCTACTGCTGAACTGGTTTCCAGTTTCAAACAGTAACTTTTTACACCCTTGACCAGAACCCATTGAAGAACAGAATTAATCTGGATATTGACCCTGACCCCAACCCACTGTGACCGACCCCCCCCCGTGCCTCTAAGCCAAGTTTGAAACACCTGTTTGGATATTTGTTTTGTACAGTAAGTATATACAAAGAAAAGTAACACAGACACCACTTAACTTCCTTGTGAATTTGGCACTTTCCATGGAACATGGACTGGAAAGCTCCTCAGCAGGAGCCCAACCCTCCCCACCACCCACCCACCCTCGACAGATTCTGTGTTAGCTCCGGAAGAACGAGATAAATAACTCCTCAGAACGAGAGAAATAACTCCTCAGCTACTGTTTTCTAAGAGGAAAAGGTGTCCTGGGCTTTCCCAGCAGAGCCAGCACCCGGCACCAAGGCTTAGAGAGGGCATTTATTCATCTTCCCCACGTGTGGGTGATGTGGTAACAACCTTCCTTCCTTCTGGCTTAGAGGGAACACTGCTTTTAGAAACCCTGGGACAGGTAAGACAAGAACCAATACCACTGTACAGAATTCACTGCACAACGAGCTAATAAAGGGACCCAGCACTGACTGGCCACGGCAAGGAAATGGGACTGAATACATTTGGGATCGGCCGGATCCGGTGCTGCACCGTGGGACGCGGCCCCGGGGACGCCCCGGGCCCTCAGTACGCTGGCACTTGGTAACCTTTGGGGTTGGCCTCTAAGGTCTCGGTGAAGGGGGGGCTCTGGTAGGTCTCCGTGCTCTCGGTGCCGCTGCCCACGGGGTACCCGGGGTACGGCGCGCTCGGGTCGGCGGGGAACTGGTCGGTGGCAAAGAGCGACATGTCCGTGCCCAGGCGGTACCTCTGCAGGGCCCTCACTGCCAGCACCACCTGCGGGAGGAGCAGGAGGTCAGGGGGGGCAACCTGCATGGTCTCAGCATCCCACAACCCCCCCAGGACCCTGCATGGCCCCAGGACCCCGTGACCCCTCAGGACCTCGCGTCCTCCCAGGACCTTGCACTCCCCCAGGACCCCACTTCCCTCCAGGATTCCACAACCCCCTCAGGATCTCACATTCCCCCAGGACCCACATTCCCCCAGGATCCCACAGTGCCCTCAGGATCTCGCATTCCCCCATGATCCTGTGTCCCTTCAGGACCCTGCCCTCA